CAAACCCAGCCTGGGCTGGCACTGCCAGGGCTCAAACGCTCACAGGGAGTCAGAGCACAGAGTTTAAAAGAAAAATCCTTTCTACTGGCAAGGTCTTCAGCCACTGACAGGGGGTGGCTGCTGTCTAGTGCAATGAACTGATGCACGTGAGTACAAGTGACAAGCACAACACTGCTACAGCAACCCACGGGAAGGGAGCCCTGGCAGAGGTGGGACTGGGAATGGGGAGGGTCTGTCCCGCAGTCACTGCGCTGGCTTATGGGAGCCCACCCCAACCTCAGGAGGTATTGCCGTCCCTCCCTAGGAGTGTGCTGGCAGGGTTTTAACTCTCCCCAAACCCGCACCTCCTCACCTGCACACCCCACTGCACGCTCAGCCCCAAGCGCCGTTCCTGGCTTCTAGCTGTTGAACGGAACGGTGCGCTCCTGTTTGCTGGGGGAAGGAGAAAACCAGACAAATCACCACTCCATCTTTTTCCCCCCTGTCACCACATTATTTGTCACCATCCAGCCAGCCCTTCCCTGTGAAACCCAGCGGTGCACCGTGAGGTGCTTCCCTTGGACAAGGTGTCCCTCTTGCCGTCCTGCTCCACAGCCACCTTACCCCAGCCCATGAATCCCCCAGGAGCCGGTGTCCTGCTGGCGCTGCCTCAGCCCGGCAGCATCCCAAGAGCAGAGCAGAGCTCCACGGGCTCCGCAGGACCAGCCCAGCCTCGCCGGGCTACCAGCCCCGCTGCCCCAAAAAGTCCTGCACTGCTGGTGGGGTTGCCAGAGGTGAGCATGCCAGGAGGAGGACAGAGAGGACTAAAACCAGGCTGAAGCACTGCCCTGTTTCCTCACCTTCCCCAGGTGTCCTGGCCCACATTTATCAAGAAAAACTGAGGAGAAATACAGTGTGATTTAATTCCTGTCCCTGGAGGGCTCAGGGTTCTGGTGCTTCTCTGTGATTTGCAGCTGGCACTCCAAAGTAAGTCAAAGTCAGAAGCACAGAATGGTTTGAGTTGGAAAGGACCTTAAAGATCATCGAGTTCCAACCCCCTGCCATGGGCAGGGACACCTCCCACTAGACCAGGTTGCTCAAAGCCTCATCCAGCCTGGCCTTGAACCCCTCCAGGGATGGGGCATCCACAGCTTCCCTGGGCAACCTGTTCCAGTGCCTCACCA